TATATATATATATATATATATATATATATAACAATTAAACAATACCAACTTATAACAAAGCTTACACTATTAAACTTCAAAACCTATAACAAAGCTCACACGGCTAACAAAAAAAAAAAAAGTGTTTGCTCATCATCTCTCTTTAATATATTTCTCTATGACTCTCTGTCTCTCTCTCTAAACCAGTTCTCATCTTTGCTCAATATGCATTTCCACATTTTGTATCTCAAAAATAATTTGTTTGCTGTCCACTTGCTATGGTCCCATTCTTCCATTCTTCCACCTCCAATCAAACAATAAGAAAGAGAAAAAACAAACCACCATTAGCAACACTACAGTGTACAGGAAAAAACAAGTATCCTAATTTCTAGATATTTGTAACAACATAAACACAATTGTAATCAAAGATAATCAAGAAACATTTACGGATTATACAATGCATTCTCTTTGAAGCCTGAGGAACAATGGTAAAAGCTGCAAGTATATACGAACTAAAGCTGCAAGTACACCATGGTGGTTACATGGAGAGTAAAGACAGGCCACTTTTTGGTCAGTTTACTAGAAGCTCTGTTAATTAGTGAATAATATCTCTAGAAACCTTGCATATATAAAAATCCAATTCCATAAAGAGCTGTGTTACAAAATACTTCTTTGGACAAGCACTCAAACTGTGCATCCACGGCATATAATACCCAAATCACTAATTTTATGCATCGAAGCTATAGCATGCTGCAGCATCAATTTCACAAAATGTGGAGAAGTTTCCTTAAAAATTGCAGACTCGTATGCAAACACAGTAACATAGTTACTGTGAATACAGTCCACATATGCTTTATCTTAAGCATGGGTATACATACAAGTCACATGTGAAGACAGTCGACTTTTTGGCCTGTTTACTCTTCCTGTTTGTGGACGAGAAGCATGGAAAATAAGCCAAAACCTTTTTGCATAAAGCAATACACAGTTAAGCACACATACACGGTTAACACACAGTTAAGCACGTACACACAGTTAAGCTTAAGCACACAGTTCATAAAACAATACACAATTAACTCACAGTTAAGCACACAGTTCATAAAACAATACACAATTAACACACAGTTAAGTAATCAGTTAAGCACATGCACAGTTAAGCTTTAGCACACAGTTACTGAGTTACACACAGTTAAGCAATCAGTTAAGCACATACACAGTTAAATACAGTTCAGCTTAATCACACAGTTACACACAGTTCATAAAGCAATACACAGTTAACACGCAGTTAAGCACATACACAGTTAACACACAGTTAAGTCTAAGCACACAATTACTGAGTTACACACAGTTGCACACAATTCATAAAGCAATACACAGGTAACCCACAATTAAGCAATCAGTTAAGCACATACACAGTTAACACATAGTTAAGCTTAAGCACACAGTTATACACAATTACACACAATTCATAAAGCAAACACAGTAACATTAAACAGTGAAAAGTATTTGAGAATTGATACCTGCTGAGATGTCGATCGCAGTCCTCAACTTTATCATCAACAAGAGCAGCAGGAGTGTTAAAGATGACGCTTATGCACCCCTTAAGACTGAAACACAATAGTAAGAAAAATTTTAAGTTCTGGAAAGCAACAAATGTGGAAAATAATCAACCAACAACAATTTGGAAATTAAAATTATTTTACTTTTATCATTCTGCAGCCAATTTTGTGTACACATAAATGCTTGCACGGTTGATGGAAGCAAGGAACTGCGATACCGGTCTTAGCCTCCTCCCCCAGTCTTAATGCTGACTCAGATGCTACTGTGGATACATGAATCACCAAAATATCTCTATCCATTTTTGAGAGAATGGGGAACCTTGGTGCATTGGCTCGCCACCAAATTAAGATATTGAAATCTTCAATCTCTTGTGGATAGACAGATTCCTCCATATATATGTCCAATTCTGATCTTCTTTGCATACTAGTGGAATGTTCTGAATCTTTTATATTCCTTCTCTCTCTTGTCGAGATTCATCACCACTGTGGGAAGAAGATTGTACTCCAACTGCACTACGTCCAATATTGGAACTAGATGATTCATTTGATTCAAACTCCTTAAATAGGTCATAAACCTCTTGTCGAACCATCATAATTGCTTGTGCCGCCTCATCACCATATATTTTCGATAGTAGAAACGAACCAATGAAAGTTTATACCGAGGCTCAACACACATGCAATCGCCAAGGTTAAATTAAATATCCTCCTATATTTGTCAAATTTCTTTTTTATGTTGATGGCCATAGAACTAATATACTCAATAGGGCTCAAACATAATTCCATCAAACACAAATGAATCTCTCATACTTCGGGGAAATAGAGATTACAAGTTGGATACTTGGGCCCCGTAAAAACATTTGTAGCATTATATAAAATTTTCAAACATTTACAAATATGTCTTGTTCTCTCGCAATCAGCCTCAGATGTAACCAAATTTGGCATTGATTCCCGTTGAGCAAAGCGATAAATTGCCTCTTTTAGCTCGAAGGCAACCTCTAGCATTTTGTATGTTGAGTTCCATCGAGTTGGAACTTCAAGACATATATTTATTTATTTTTTTTTTTTGGGGATGGGGGGGTGTGGCTCCCACGGAACCCCTCAACCCCAACCGTTCCTTACCATGGGTGGCTCCCATGGGTAGAGGGTTAGTTGGTGCCACACTTGAGAACACGTGCACCTCGTGAACCAAAGATATGTTCAGTCCATTTGTGGATGCTTTAATGGGGGGGGGGAGGGAGGTGGAAGGGATGGCACGTTACCCAAAGGTGGCGACAGTTCAGAAGGATTAAATGCAGGGAATTGCTGAGTACGAGGAAGGCGCCTCAACAAACCTAAGAGTTTACTTTCTACGGTGCACCACTGTCCGGCGATCGTGGTCTGTAGGAGTGGAGCAGTTATGGCAGTTGGAACCTTGGATTGAGGCACTAATGGGGTATGATAGTCTGTTGCAATGGACATTGAGAAGATCTGGGATAAGGTCCAGGTTTTCTGAAGCAACCAAGATAACAAGATTTCCTAAGGGGAGGATTCTAGGGACTTCCAGTGAACCGATAAGAATTCCCCACAGCAGTTTCCTAAGGTTTTGAAAACCTATTGCGTCGAGAGTTGAACTTGGATACCCTATAAGATATCCTGAACTTAACTTTTCGTTGAGCGTCCTCTGATTCGTCCCACCTCTTTAAGGGTAAGAGACCACCATATAAGTTGAGCTTGGACCACGGTTTAAAGGGAAGGGGTGAAATATGGTCAGGTAGGGATATGAGGTGCGAACTGTTATGCAAGGGTCTGCTAATGACTTGGGGGGAGTTGAAAACTCTCTGGAACCATTTGGCAATGGCCTTGGTATCATTTCACTGGGGAGAGAAAGAGTTGATGAAGGAATTTCTCAGAGATAATAGGTGGTCTGAAATTTCAGAGGTTAGGGGGGAGCCAAACGTGGCGGATGGAGTTTAAGTATGAAATGTTGGTTACAAAGCATGGGTAAGAAGGGGAGGAATCGGGGTGAGAGATGGGCTTAGGGGGGGTTGAAGGGGGGCGGGGATACGAGGCAACATCTTGGGCGAAAGATTTCAAGGGTGGTGGAGGTGGAGAATGTTCAGGGTGGATGGAGATTAGGAGGCTAAGGTGAGGGGGGTAGAGGAGGAGGCCTCTGGGTAAATTAACTGTCAGTAATGGCGATACAAGGGAGGGGAGTGGACATGGGTGTGGTTAGGGGGGGATGGGGAGAAGATGCAGGTGGAGGCATAAGATGATGTTCATGAAGTTTAAGCTCAAATTCCGGAGTGCTAACCTCTACGCCATAGAATTCTTGGTTCTGTCATTTCTTCATATCCTCAAGGATGCCCGTGTGGGATTTGCAGAAGCAATTTTGCATAGATAGGGTTCGATCCATATTACCTGGGTTAACCCCTTGTGAATGCTTAGCCTATTGTATCAAATTTCTTGTGAATTAGTTGCTGATAATAGGGGAAAAAAATCACTTAGAAGTGTTCAATCCTTGGGGTTGATAACCTTTATTTCAAATTTGCTCATTCATTCTCTGTCTAATTGGTAAATGCCTTCTTGGGGAAGTATCCTATGAATTTTATACTTGATGTAGTTCCACTTCATCTATTGAGACGGCCACTGGATCAGGTGATGCCTTCTTGGAAGTTTATATGGTATGTCATTAATGCTCTGTGGATGTGATTTGACTTGAGAAACTTGGGTTGGTTTGGATGCAGTCATTTCCAATTTTTATTTTGGATGGATTAAATACTGAATTGAAATATTGACACTTTTAGATCACATTTTTCCCAACTTTGTCAGTAAGTCCCTGTTGATATGAAAATATTCTAGCAGTGAACAAGATCTGTTTTATTTCCTAAGATCACTGCATGATTTTTGTTTGCTCATCATAAACTATTTTAACATCTCCTGAGTATTGTGGTCGTTAACTTCCATGAGATAAACTATTGTTGAGTCTAAGTTTCAGAAAGCAATAAGAATACTTGATGTATTCTGTTTTCTTTTTGGATGGTCAGTAATGCACGTTTTTTGCTATATTTGTTTTTTTTAGCACACATTCCGTTATATCTCTACCCCTTCCTGAATACCACGAGCAAGACAAGGCCATTTGAATATTTGAGACTTACCAGCCTTGGAGTTATTGGTGCACTCGTGAAGGTATTTTGTTCATTATTATTTTTATTGTCTATTTGTTGTTTTAGTCCTTTGTTATCCTGAAGCATGTAAGGATCTCAGGCTGCAGGGGGTTGCTTCCAATTAAGTAATTGTCCAGTAAAAGTAAAACTGTCTTTCACGTTCTTGGGCTTGATTCAGACATTGGAAATATCTTGCTTTCTACCTTACTCTTGCCTATCCTTGTGGGGCTTGATAATCTGTTCTGAGGGCCTTATCACTTGTTCCTTGTGGTAATATAGGTTACCTGATTTAAAATGGGCTCTTGGCAGAGGTGTCAGGATGGCAGGTGCCACAACGTGCCGTCTAGAGTTCCATTCTCTCCATGTCCTGAGTAATAACATTCAGGAAAAAGAAAAGAAAAAAGGAAAAGAAAAGAAAACTAACTTTAGTTTACTTGTTTGTGCCTCAGAACTAAAGAAGGATTTAAATTTCAGGTTTTTACTTCATATCCATGCTATTGGATGATATAATATTCTCTATGTAGAAAGGTGCTTTAACCCAACAAAATTGGGCGTTCAACCTCTATGTGTTGTCATGATTAGCTCAATGAGGGATTGCTGTATGCCCAGATGGTTTTTCAGCAATTAACTGAAAAACCACTTTGCAATGTACTTACATACCTTCTTCCTCTCTTCTTTCTTGTATCAATTTCCAATTTCGGTTTGTTTGGTTTTATTCCTCCTCTCCTGAACCATAATTTTGGGGTCAGGGGTGCAACATGTATCGATTGGCCCCGTAGAGGCGTTTTATCTCCAACACTACGACCTATATTTATATCCCTCTCTCTTGACCTTGGAGTACCCCTTTGCCTCATACCAACTTTTGACATATCCTCATCGTCTTCATCATCATCAAATAATTGAATTTCATCAATTAATTCTTTTCATTGGATTCTCTTCTTTTCTTTTTGTTTTTTCAAGCCATCCATATATTCTCTTATTTCCTTTTTGATACCTTCGGTAGCTTGTGGGCATGTTCTTTCATTCCTAGAAATACCGGCTAAGAGTTATTTGTTTTAAAAAATACACCGGCCATATAAGTGTATTTCCATAAAGAGTACAAATAACACAATTTTGGCCTTTCGGATTTTTTAGTTTTACATATTTCCAAAGCAGATCCTTGTTACTAGAAGATTGTGAAGAAGACATTGCGCGCCCCCCCCCCCAAAATAAAATAAAATAAAATGAAATAAAGTGTACTAGAAAATAAGAACTTACCGATTACTTGAAGACAATATCAATATCTTCTCGGCCCCTAAGACCCTCGATTTGTTGTTAAAACTTTGCTAAAACTTCCTTAAATGAACACTCAAAATAAACCAATCGACAACCATTGATCATCCAAGACAAAAATCCAAGATTTTCAAAAAAAAAAAATTTCCGCCACTTTTTTATTTTTTTTGCTTGTTTTGATATCCTAAAGGCCACATATGTGGCTGATTTTGGTGGTTGTGGGGTTTAGTAACCCCCAAACCCTCCCCCTTCCTTTTTCGGGGGTTAAAAAGACAAAAATACCCCTTTTCAAGGGGTATTTATCATTTTGCATGCGGGGCGCATATGCGCCCTATGTGGCTGCATATGTGGGCGCATCCCAACAAAGTTCATATGCGCTGTTTGGAGATGCAGTTGCCAATGCATGATGCGGCCGCATTTAAAAGCACTCATGTCATCTATTAAATTTTTTTTTTGGTCTATTTTCTAAGAAAGAAGCTGGCATAAAAGGATTATTTTACTGTATTTGCATCGACGCAGTGAAAAGAATGCAAATAAATATGTTATCATGTTAGTAATAATAACGATGCTCCCTGTAATTTGATTTGCTTAAACTCATGTCGTTATGTCTTTTTCTTCCCAGGTGGATGATACCGATGTTATTAATTTTCTTCTTTCAACAGAAATAATTCCTCTTTGTCTCCGCACCATGGAGATGGGTAGCGAACTCTCAAAAACCGTGAGTTGTCACTCGCTTCTCCCTTAGATAATTTTTATGGGGAAAGTTACCATGTTAATTTTTATGTGGAAGTTACCATGTGATCTATCTAAAAAAAAATGCTTCTTGTCTTTTTATCACATGATCGTGGGGAAAGAAAAAGAAACTTTATTGCATATGAACGATTGTTGATTTTGTAGTTTTTGTAGGCTCTTGTTATGCCCATAGTTGCCGCAATCTCTCACCCTAGGTGGGAATTCTGCTTTAGAATCCTAATTCCCTGATTCTTTCAACAATCCATTTTCCATGAATCTCGATTACAGATTTTCAGAATCTCGATTCCACTTTTTTCGAATCTTGATTCCAACATTTATCGAATCTTGATTCCACATTTGTTGAATCTCGAGTTCACATTCTTTGGATCTCGATTCAATCTTTGTGGAATACAGATTTCATAATGGTAATTTTTTTAATTACATGTAATATTGTGTTATTTTGAAATGTCAAAACCTCTATTACCCTCTTCCTATGAGTGTGTGTGTGTGATGTCTAGACTATGTTGCACTTTTTCTCTACAACACAATGTGAATGTAAACGAAAAAAGTTGTTTTATTTCTCTCAATTAATGTGCTCACTCTCATTTCATCATGTCAAGCAAATGGTATTTTTGGAAGATGAGGCTAGGGATTCTTTCACAATTGCTTTTTGAATAGTGGTAGAACTTGTTGGCTATTTTTTAGAGATAAGCAGGAAAGATATTTGGGTTCGATATGGATTACATTTCTGATAGTGTTAGAATTGGTGGTTATTTTTTAATCATAATTGGGAAAGAAATTTCGGTTCAATTGAATTTTTGGATTGCAATACAGAGTAACTTAATGGCATAAACAAATTCCCATTTTCAACTATAAATATGGAATCAAAATCTCAGTATGAAGTATTCGTGAGATAGTATTTGTATGTTTTGTAAACACTATCACAAATTCTCTAGTTGACTATGGGCATCTGTTAATTGTACTTAACCGAAATCTAATATTACAACCAGTCGACCGTAATACATAGAGGCTCAATACACATCTTGTAAAAAAAAAGGCTCAATACATTGCTCCTTGGCTAAGAATATTCAATACATAGAAGTTGGAATTTCGATTCCATTTGGTTTGAAACTCAATTCCATAGATGTAGGAATCTTGATTCCATTTAGGTCAAACTGCATTATGATAAAGTAGGAATATCATTTTCTGCAATTCCCCATGTACGGACAATGATTCCGCAACATGAATCTTTTAGCCACTTGCAACTCCCCAATTTCAATTCCTAAAGCGATTTGTAAACTCTGGCGTTTCCAGACAACTATGGCTATGCCAATGCAACATTGTACCTGTTAATCTGTTAAGTTCTCCAATTTGACAAATGGATCTTTCCCAGTCCTCTCAACGTCTAGGTTTGAGTAGGAGCTAGCTTTGGTTTGGACTCAAGGGGTCTCGCTTGAAGTCTCGACAAGTTAGGATTCCAGCAAGGTTTTTTCACTGGGGAAACTTTCTACACTTAACCTATTGTATGGAAGTTGTATACCCCCTCTAGTTCTAGTCGTCCAATTAGATCAAGTGAGCCACTGACTGTTTGATCTAGATCTGACTCCTCAGAGTATTTTTAATTTTTTTCTATGAATCATATGTATACGAAATTTGGTACCTAAAAAAATATTAAATTTTTTTTGATAAAATAAAATAACCAAAATACCTCTGAAAGTTTTAGGGGTATTTTGGTCATTTTATTTTATTGGGAATATGTTTTAGGTTTGAGTTTAAGAGAGGAGTAGATGGCCAAAATTTGGTGCCAAAATGTTTTGTAAAAAAAATTAAATATAAAACAATGTAGAGGCGTGACATTGTGATCGGGTCCATCTTAGCCGTCTATTCAGATTTGACAGTTGGATAGGGGGAGGATATAATTGTACTGTAGAGGGAGTATAGAGAGCTTGCCATTTTTGACCGCATCAGTTAGTTCTCTGCTAGAATGCTAAATCTTTGATTCTTGACCTTGTCCACTTAGTGCTCAACATTTTTTTGGCCGGGCTAGTCTAGCTGATATTGTGTTTGGAATATTGATTATTATGATCATGTCATCGAACCAAGACTTGCAAGAGAGCTTTACTTCTCACATCTTCTCTGCTTCTCTTCACATTTTGTTTGTGTTCACCCGTACCAAGAAGAAGATGCTGAACCAAATCTTGGGAGGGTCTATTTATCAATCATCTACTTTGTTACTTGGGGATTTATTTTACCTATAACCGCCTTTGTTTTTATGTCTCCTTCTGTGTAGAGCTAGAAGGCCCCACGAATATTGAATTAACATAGAACAACCTAAGTATCCTTTAAGGACTTTAAACATGGTACTGGGCCCTACTACCTAGTATTAATAATTTTCAATGTGTTCCCCCTTGCACATGAACTAAACTTACCCAAGAAAGGTTCGAGTTGTCTTGGACTGACACACATAATTATGCCATGGACACGATATGTGTGTTTGATGCTAATGTTATTTATTTTTTTGTTTTAAAAGAAATATTTTATTTGAATACTTTTGAAGGACCATTTTTCTATAGGTGGTACATAGGGACCACATAAATCCTTTTAAATTACTGTTGGTTGAACCTGTATACATTTTCATATAATTTTATTGCTATGGGTGACAAGTGGCTTCTTTTTATCTCTCCTTATTTAAGTTAATTGTACTCTGACATATTATTAATGGTGTTACCATCACATGAACATCATCTTTTTGCATGTGGTGATGTGTTGCATCAACATAAAATAGACCTTCTTCCACCGAGAAGACCATCCGGACCTTACTTTCTCTTTCAAAAATAATTTCTTCTTCTATTACATCTATATTGATGCCAAAAAATCTTGTCAAGACCTCATGGTGTTTGCCATGAGGATGTTATGTTGATTATTTGCTAAACGAGTCCATTGCACCCATCATTGGTTTTTATTAAGTCATTGTTTTGAAGATAGAGTTTCACTATGATTACACATAGAGGATGTGCCGGCTTTCGTAAAGTGTAAAAATTTTCGAAATAGTTTTTTGCAGTCTTCAGTCACTATGTCTTTTTAATTTCAGAACATGTTAGTTTGAGCATGCAACTCAGAGATGCAGGAAGAGTTTCCTAATCTGGCTGTATTGTGGGGGTGTTCTCACCGGTACCATTTGCATCTCAGTTTCCAGTTGAATCGAGGGCTTTAAAACACTTCGAAGAAAGTGAACTCCACTAGTGCCTTTAGATCCCCGCTACTTTCATCATCCTATAACATCCGAAACATGATCTAATTCCTACGGAGTCTAACTGCTACTAGGAGTGTTTTTGTTATCATAAACTCTCAAACCAGATTTAATCCTTAGAGGGTCAACTGGTAGTAAAGTTTTAAGAGATCTGTACAGTCATTAACTCCATTCAGGGGAGGTTTTGGGAAATTACGGGGCAGGGGTGTCACTAAAACTAAGTGTTTAAGTTTACTAGATGGCTACTGGAAGCTCACTGAAATCCATGACCCAAGAGGCTTGATTGTTTTGAAGGAATTCATTTTAGAAGGTGGTAGTGGAAGCTCTAGTTTTTGCTGAGGAGCTTAGAAGTGGACTCTGTATTGATGAAACCACGACTCTTTGCTTTAAGAACAATCCTAGAATCCACTGTTGATCAGACCTCAAGTGATCTGATTACCGAAGAAACGTAACAATAACAATGGGCTGAAGGTGACTACATATGTAAAGGGCATATCATGAATGCTTTAAGTGATATGTTTGATCTATACTCAGGGATTCTGGTAGCAAAGGATTTGTTGGATGCTCTTTAAGCAAAATACAAAAAGGAAGATGCTAGAAGGAAGAAGTATATCATCGGTTGATACTTAAATTTTAAGAAGGAAAATTGATGCAGTCTCAAATTCATGATTTTCGGATAAATGCGAATGAATTAGAATTACATGGTATTAAATCTGATTAGTACTTTCATGTTAGTGTAATAATAGATAAATTGCTACCCTCTTGGAACGACTATAGGCATAAATTGATGCACAAGTCGGAAGATTTGAGTCTAGAACAATTGATGACTGATTTGAGAATTGAAGAGGAGACTAGACTTAGAGATATGAAAGAGTACAATTCTCAGATGGTCGTCAAAGTCATGTAGTTGAAGGTCCAAAAAATAAAAAGGCACAGACAAAACAAGAAAATCAAGATTCCAGAGAAGAATGAAGAGAAGAAGGAAGAAAACGACAATAAAGACAAAGATAAGAAACCATGGAACGCTACTTTTGTGGCAGACCATGTATAGAAATTTTGTAGAATTTGAAAGAGGTAGCTGGCACAAGCCAAAGTGGCTGAAGAAAGATTTATTGCCATGATATCCGAAGTTAATGCAGTAGTAGGCAACTACAAAGTGGTGGGTGGACACTGGAGACACTAGACATGTCTATAATAATAGAAACATATTTAGGACTTATGACATGGTGTGGGAGGACACTGTCCTTTATATGGGCAATTCTTCCTCCTCTACAATACTTGGTAAAGAGACAATTGAATTGAAATTCACATCCAGTAAAGTTCTCACCCTTTTGGATGTTTATCGTGCCCTTGAAGTCCGAAGAGATCTGGTGTCTGTCTGCATACCTTTTTGAGTAAGTGGGGTTTCAAACTTGTCTTTGAGTCCAACAAGTTTATCTCGTCGAAGAATGGAGTCTTTGTAAGAATGGGATACGCCTTTGAAGGCATGTTCAAGCTCGGTGTACGTAATGAAACATGTACATCTTCTGTGTATTGCTTAAATCTTCCTCCTCGTGGCATGGTAGGTTAGGTCATGCTAATTATCATGCTTTAAAGAAAATGAGTACTTTTGACCTTGTTCCCAAGTGCGGAAATTTGCAAAATACTTTATGTTATGTATGTGTATGATCAAAGATCACAAGGAGACCCTTTCCCAAAGCAGAAAGAAGTTCCAGGTTACTAGGATTAATACATAG